CTCTGGTGAATTCTCTCACCCTCCCGCGCCTCTGACCTGTACCCCTGTTCTTGTATAAATAAATCTTTTAAAAAAAAATTAAGAGCTCTCTTTACATGTTTTTTTTTTTAAATGTATTAGATATTTTAGATATATCATTCAGTACTCCCAAGAAACCCCATAAAGGAGTTTCTTAAATATGAGAACAGGGCTTAGAGAAGTAAAGAACTTGCTCCAGATCACACCACTAAATACATGGCTGAGCTGATACTCAGGGCTTTGCAATCAACCTTTGCCAAATAGTTCTTGGCTTCATTGAGGTTCTCAATGAGCCTCCAGAGTTTCCACCTTTTTTAGTGGCTCACAGCAAGCTGAAGCCACCTGGCACTTGGCCACTAAGGACATGGCACTCTGGCTTTCCTGATTTCAGACTTTTGCCCTGAATTGCCTTGGTAATACAAGTATTTGTGATAATACTTCCCATAGGTAATGACTTGGAGACAATCCCAACTGGGACATGGAAGCAAAGAGAGGAGGTTGACCATAAATCCAAGCAACTTGTCACATGATGGGTAAATAGGATTTTAGAATAAGTTTTTAGATCCTAGTCTCAGTGGAAACAGCTACTGTGGGTTGTTTTTGTTATATTTTTTCATTTTTTTAAACATTACTTTCCTTCTCCTTTTAAGTCTTAAAATACACTCAGCAATTTAGAGAGATGTCAAGCTTAAATCCTACAAAACTCAAGGGTTAGAATTCAAAACACCCTAACCGAAATTTGTAGTTTTACCAATTTTTAACAAATACCATGTCAAAAATCTCCATTCCTGCTACCTCCAAGTTCCAATCTGCTTCTCAGGATTGATGGTTTTAGGTTAAACATTCATAAGGTTTTGCTGTAATCAGAAATGCAAAACTAGTAATACTCTCCACTTTCTTGTCTAAAGGCAAATGAAAAATGGGGACCACAAAAGATAACTGCAAAACAAAGTACATTCAAGACGTAGTATAATCAACTCTTGATAATTTGGAATTTTGTTTTGACTTGCTTTTTGAACAATGCAGTCCCCTGGTTCTCTCCTTGGCTGCTGGAGATATGCCTTCCTAGGCTGCTAAAATAATGCAGTTGCTCAAATAGCTTCCCGACAACTTCTGTTCATTATACAAGATAACAAAATTAAGAAGAATGTATACAGTTATTAAAACCAATACTTTTGGATATCAGTACACATTTCAAACTTGCTAGTTCCTTCACTTATGACCCAAGTGGTTTAAGTTTCGACACCTCTAAGGTGTTTTAGACAAGAGGTACCTAAGTGTCAGACAAAACAATGCAAAACTGGCTTTCCATTGCTGGTAATCGTCTACATGTACATAAGCAAATTTCAACAACACTTTTTGTTGATGTGAACATAATTCAAGTAACAACTGAAATTTTCACTGGAGAATAGCTGGTCAACTGTACTAACATCATGCTAAATTTCAGAGATCCTAATAACTGATAACTCCTGATCTGACAAGTAATTAAAATAACATTGACTCTCTGGAATAAGAAAGGTTTGGCATAGACCACACCATTCCATGGCTGGTCCTCTGAGGTTTCTGGACCCATTCCACACACAAATTCACCAACAGGGTTTTAAAACTACTTTTAGGAATCTGAGCAATATTTTCTATGTACCTTTACATGAAGTCAAATGGAAAATCCAAGGTCAGACACATAGGATACTTAACAGTAAAGGGACTTTCTATCAGGACAGTAGGGGATGGATAGTGCTATCCACTATTCTCTCCTACCAGTTTTTGGAGTATGTCTGGGCAAATGGCCAATATCTTCACTTGTCTTTCGTTATTTGAGATGAAAAGCATCTTAAGAGAACTTTTCTTTTGATCACTTGCTATTGTTCAAGAACTTCCTCAAAACTGCACCTCATTAAAAGTCTAACTTGAACACCTCAAGTCATCAGAAAAGCTGGCAAATTTGTCAAGACACAATTTAAAAACCAACGTATTGTAGTCCCAAACTAACTAAAAATCCTTGAATCTGCCTTAAACTGAACCACTTTCAAGCAAAGTTTTACTAGGTAAATGTTTGCGAAACTAGAAAAAAATTTTAGTTATTAAATTTGAAGGTGATTTAAGTACAAATATGATGTCTAGAAACCTACCCCAAAGGCAATAATATTACATGTCATCCAAAGTCTATTTCTTTTTTATTAGCAAATAAAATATTCTTTGAAACAACAAATGGCTCCACCTTCCCCAATTTCCATGTTCTAGTATCATGAATGTTACCGGGTACACTCATGTACCAAAATAAGCTTTTGTTTGAGTCATTCTCAAACCAAAGTATTAAAAGATCATTCTTTACCAAACAAAGACAGTTTTGGGTTGAAACCCAGGAGACTGGACACCTCAGTAGGTACTATTGTGCTTTTATCCTGGGAAAATAATCCTTTCTGCATAAGCACACAAAGGCCACATGTGTCCTTGACAAATAGCAAGATGTTTATAGCTCATTTTCTACTTTCTGTAAGAGGTAATCTGTATTAAAAAAAAATTATTCAGTGCGGGTTCTAAGAATTAAACACCGTAACCTTTTTACTACCCGGTCAAGGAGTTTGGTTCTAAACAAGTTGCCTCCATTATAGTTTGTCTATACCCACGATCAGAACGAGGTTAAATGCGATTCCTTTAGATCAGAAAAAACTGGGGAGAAATAAAATCCGTTGCCAGCAAGCACGTAGAACCTGTCAATAAGGCACTCAGACCCAAGAAATAATAAAACACTATGATGTACTAGTTTGGGGGGGGCTCCCCACCCTCGTCGGTGAATCGGACCATTCCCGGACTCCAGCTGCGGAATCCCTGCTTCACACGTAAGAGGAAGGAAATCTCTCTCGGTCTCTCGACCTCACCTAGCCGGCGGGCCTCATGGCGATGGGGCCAAGATACCTGGGAAGCAGGCAGACAACAGGAGACCGAGGCCAAGGCCGGGGCAGGGGAAGGGCAGGCCCCGGCCCTCACCCCCGTGCTGCAGCACAGCCCCGCGCTGGCTCGGCCGTACTGGGGGATGGGGCTGAGGCGGGAGCTCGTCCTCCCGGGTATTGAGAGCCGCTGCGGCCTGGCCTTGCGGCCAAGTGTGGGGAAGGCGACACGTTGTCATCAGCGGAAGGCAGAGGGAGGGATCCGCCCTGCGAGCAAGACCCTGGAAGCCTAACCGCCGCCGCCCCCTCCCCGAGCGCGCCATTTCCAGGCCCCGGCCCTCCAGGCGCCTCCCAGGCGTCCGCGGGTCCGGCCGAGCCCCTCTCGCTCGCCGCTTGGGTGAGCGCGGGGCGGCCGCCGCCCGGGAGCCGCCGTCCCACAGCGCGCCCTGCGCCCGGCTGGGGTGTGCGCACGCCCTCCTCACCCTCTGCCGCCGCCAAAGCTGCTGTAGGCCCGATCGTCGTAGGTATCGAAGTCCGCCATTTGCCGTCTCCGCTCCGTGAGGAACCAGGCTGAGCGAGGAAGGACCCCGCAATATAACTCCCCCCCGCCCCGCCGCCGGGGCTGTCCGCCGCGCCGCCTGATCGCAAATTGCACGCACGCACGCGCGCGCGCGCGCACGTACGCCGCGCCGCGCCGCGCCCGGCCTGGGCCGACGGGCCGCTCCTGGCCCGGCGCGCTCTGCGGCCCACGTGGTGCGGCGGCGCCCTTGCCGGGTGCCAGGCGGCGCGGCGCGGCCCATTGTGTGCTGGCCCTGCGGCTTCACCCGGGCCGCCTCCTGCCCGCCCCCCCGGCCCCGCCCGTGGACGGCGGCCTCGCTCTTCCGCCCGCGGTGGCTCTCCGCGCGCTCCGACAGCCTCCCTGGCTGGCTCGGACGCTGAGCCAGACCCGCTGCGCTTCCTCTGCTGCTTGGTTAGCTTTGCGCGCTCCCCACCTGGCAGCCGCCCCACGGGCCTGCCCCGCTTGCCCTCTTCCCGGCCCAGGGGTCGCCCCTCCAAAGGAAGGGCCACCTCCTGTGGGCCGAGGACCCCATGGTTGGGCACTCCTTGAGAAGGCACAGGGCTGAAGGCTCTGGAAGGGGTAGGTTGGGGTCAGGATCTGAGGGAGCAGAGGCGATGGGGATGCAGATAGGAATCCTGCCTTCAGGGAAGGGTCTCCTCGCTGCCTGGATATTGAGAGGTGAGGGTGGGGTTGGAGATTAGACTAATTGTTGAACTAGCAGGAGAGCCAGCGCATCTCGCTTTTGCTTTGGTCTTTGTACTGTGAAAGAATTCTCTATGTAGCAGTAACGTGAATTCTGTGTAACAGTAGCAAAGAAGGGATGTGGAGTATTCATTACAGCTGTAGTTTCTCAGGTTCCTGGTGATTGAGATTGTCCTAATTCCGAAACAAACCCTGATGTGCATAGGCACATTTTAAAAGAATGTCGCAGGATTTTCTTACAATGGATACCCAGTTTTTTTACATTTAAGCTTTTTCTCCTACTTTACCCCACTGGTGGGGTTGACAGTAGCTAGCAACTCATTTTTTGCTTTTCTGTCTTTCTTGCGATGAAACCACTTCAGATAGATCCAGAGTAACCTGAGCTCTGTCTTCTGACTAGCTGTGTGACCTCAAGCAAGTTACTTAATCTCTTTCACATCTCGATTTTATCTATATAAGGGGGGATTTCTGCTCACCTCCTCAGTATTGTAAAGATTAAATGAGGAAACGTTTGTCAAATACCTGGTACATAGTCTGTGGTAGCAATGTGGATATTCTTCACATGTAATTCCAAATCTTATTTTGCAGCTGTGGAAACACCCAGAGAGGAAGTGGCCTCCCCAAGATCACACAACTTTGATTTCATAGCACATGGAAACCAAAGGTTTCTTCTCTCCTTGCACAGTTTAAATGTGGACAATCTGTGCCCTATGATTCCATGACCTTTAAAGTACACTTGAGGGCATTTGACTAAATGAAAACCTTAATATTCTTATTTATTTTTTTCTTCCAGTTTCATTGAGACCTTAATATTTAATCTTGAATGGCCTTACATTTTTTTTATTCCAAAGTGTCCCAGTCCAAAGTCACCTCAAGGTGAGATCCAAAGGATAGAAACCATCTTGAGGGGGTTCTCAGTTATCTCCCACTGGGCCCTATGTGAGGAAAAAGGGTTAATTTTTCATGCATGAAATAAAAGGAGGGAGCCTCTAGGAAGGTCTGTGGCTGGGGCTCTCCCAGTACCATGACCATCCCAGGGCCATCCCCCCTCTCCAGGGTCAATTCCTGTTTCTCCCAAACAGCACCCATAGCCAAACTCTTGAGTCACGCTACTAGGTCCTGCTATCCACAGCCCCCTTCCCTTTCTGTTGGTCTCAGCACACAGTCCCCCTCGGCTTAGAATACAGAGGATTGAAGCCAGTGCTAGAAAGTTCTTTAAATGGCGACTCCCTCCATGGCAAAGTTAAATGTCCAACCTCTCCTGAGGTTGTCCTCATGAGCTTTGATCCAAATTTGTCCTCTAACACCTTCCCCTAGAGTGGCTATTCCAGCCTTAAGCCATCCCCTTGAGCCCTGGGGGTGTGCAGATACAACCTCTTGAAGGTCTCCAAAAAGCCTTTAGTGCTGTGGTGAAGCCTATGGGTTGCATTTCAAACTGCCTGTGTTTATATCCTTGCCAATTCACTTACTCCAGGCTGCTGTTAATCTGTCAGTTCTTTGTAAAACAAATAATATTCATTGTGATATCTGCCAGTTTTCAGTACTCAGCTATTTTTAAGTTCTGAAATGTTGGTATTTTTGTTGGTGTAACACTGTTTACCTATCCAAAATAATCTGAAATGTGAATCATTTTTATACTGAGCGATAGATCAATGACTTAAATATTCAATATATGTGAAAAGACATTTTAATGTTCTCCAAATCTTTACAGATCCACCCCTGAGGGAGTCTCAGTAAGCACCCATAGTGAGCTACTTAGAAATTCTACTACAAGCATGTGTGTTTCTTTAGCTCAAAGACTTTTTAAACAAGTGAATAAGAATATGAGAAGAATTAATGATTTTTTTGGTTTTGTTTTTTTTTAAAAGATTTATTTATTTATTTATACAAACACTGGGTACGGTCAGAAGCGCGGGAGGGTGAGAGAATTCACCAGAGCCAGAGCGGGGAGCAGAACAGGCAGACTGATGAAATACACTGCTGAGGGGAGCGGTGGGCGCTTCAGGAGAGGTCTGCATGCCACGTGGGACCCTTTGCTGGTGGCCGGGGATCGAACCAGCGCTGCAGAGGCTGCGGGCAGCTTCGCAGCTTAGCAGCTTAGCAGCTTCGCAGCCCAGCACTCAACCGTTGTGCCACCAGGGGAGGCCCAGAATATGAGAAGAATTGAAATGACACTTGGAGTCTGCATGAAAATGAAGGGCGGGGGAGGAATGAAGGTGTTTCCTTTGTAATGAAAATTAAACATCACTAGTACTAAAAAATGATCAGACTTTGCAAAATAGCTCAAAAAACTGTTCAAAAGAGGGCCTCCCTGGTGGCACAAGGGGTTAAGACACAGCCTATGAAGCAATCCACAGCCACTGCAGCACAAGTTCGATCCCCGGCCAGAGAGATACCCACATGGCACAACAGGCCTCTCCTGACTCACCCGCTGCTCCCCTCAGCAGTGTATTTCAGTCGATCTGCGTGTTCTGTTCCCCACTCTGTCTCTGGTGAATCCTCTCACCCCAACACCTCTGGCCTGTACCCCTGTTTTTGTATGCATAAATAAATATTTTAAAAAACTGTTAAAAAGAATCTCAATATTTGAAGAAGAATGCTTCAAATCCCTTTGTAATTTATTTTCCACATGGTGGTCCTGCTATTTCTTCTAAAACCTAAATCCAGGCCTGTCATTGCTCAAATCCTCCTGTTGCTCAGAATGAAGCCCTTTCCGGGTCTGCTCACCCCTCTGACACCCATATGGCACCCACTCTCACTTCCATGAGGCTCTGCTCAAAGAAGCCTTCCCTAACTGCTCTATCTGAAATAGCAGCAGCTACCCAGTTTCCTTTTTCCTGCTGATTCTTTTCCCCAGCATGTCTCACCTGACTTACCTACTTACTGATTTGTTATTTAATATCTGCCTTCCCTTTGTTTTGCTTGCTGACAAAGCTCCAGCACTTTATAAAGGGTGTTCAATAAATACTAGTTGCTTCTAGAAAACTAAAATTATGAAAATATCTAGTCAGATTAAAACCATTTCTTTATCGTCCATTTCTTCTGTCCCTCGTTGGGTTGGGTAGCATTGCAGAGTTTCAGCACCCCCTAAAGCTCTAAATAAAAAAAACCCCCTCAATGATGGTGCCATTCATGTGCTCTATTAGTATTGTTAAATTTTTTTGAGATAAAATTCACATGCCATATAATTCACCCAACTGAGTGACCAACTCAGTGGTCTGTGGTATACAGGCAGCTGTGGGTTACAGACCACCACAATTGAGCAAATGTCGCTGTAAAGGGAATCGCATGAATTTTTTGGTTTCCCAGTGCACAGAAAAGTTATATTCTATCTTATACTGTAGTCTAGTAAGTCCATTAAACATGCAATAGCATTATGTCTAAAAAACGTACATACCTTAATTAAAAATGACTTCATTGCCAAAAACTGCCTCAGTGAGTCATCTTTTTGTTGAAGGGGCTTGTAAAAAAATGGAATATCTGTGAAAAGCAATAAAGTAGAGTGCAGTAAGGGAGGTGTATCTCTGTGCACAGAGCTGTGCAAGCCTTAAGACAATCAATTTTAAAACATTTTCATTACTTGAAAGAAACCCTGATCTCCATAGCCTTAATTGTCAATCCCACCTCACCCCAAAAAAGCGAGGGAAAAACTAAATGACTTTCTTTTTCTGCAGAGTTTTTTTTTTTAAAGATTTATTTATTTTTTTATACAAGCACTGGGTACAGTCAGAAGCCCGGGAGGGTGAGAGAATTAACCAGAGACAGAGCAGAGAGCAGAACAGGCAGACTGACGAAGTACACTGCTGAGGGGAGCAGCGGGCGGCAAGAGAGGTCTGCTGCGCCATGTGGAACCCTTGCCGGCCACCGGGATTGAACCGGCGCTGCAGAGGCTACAGACAGCTTCACAGCGCAGCGCCCAACCTCCTGCGCCACCAGGGGAGGCCCCATCTTTCATTTTTTAAGGAACAGTCCATACTATTTCCACAGTGGCTGCCCCATGTTACATTCCCACCAGACATGTGTGAGCGTTCTAATTTCTCCACTCCTCACTAACACTCATGATTTTCTTTCTTATAGCCTTATAGCAGTGCTAGTGCGTGTGGGGTGGGATCCCATCATGGTGTTGATTTGCATTGCCCTATAACGATGGAAGTCAAGCATCTTTTCACATACTCACTGGCCACTTGTATAGCATCGTTGAAGCAATGTCTAGTTAGCTCTTTTTTTTAAAAAAAAAAAGATTTATTTATTTATTTATACAAGCACTGGGTGCAGTCAGAAGCACGGGAGGGTGAGAGAATTCACCATAGCCAGAGATGGGAGCAGAGCAGGCAGAAGGACCGAAGTACACTGCTGAGGGGAGCAGCGGGCGGCAGGAGAGGTCTGCGCACCATGTGGGACTCTCACCTGGAGGCTGGGAATCGAACTGGCGCTGCAGAGGCTGCGGGCAGCTTTGCAACCCAGAGCTCAACCGCTGTGCCACTGGAGAGGCCCTTAAATGACTTTCTATATTTATAGATTGACTTATTCTGAAATTCTGTATAAATGGAATCATACAACATGTAGTCCTTTGTGACTTCTTTCATTTAGTGCAATGCTTTCAGGATTCATCGGTGCTGCAGTGTTTATCAGTGTCATTTCATTGATAAAATTCCATTACATGGCTAGATCATGTTTTACTTATTTTTTTATCAGTTGATGGACATTTGAGCTTTCCATTTTGGGTAATTATGAATAATATAATGAATATTTGTATAAGTTTTTATGTCTACACATATTTTTCCATTCTCGGGAATATACCTAGGGTTGGAAATAATGGATCATGCAGTAACTATGCTTAACTATTGGACAAACCACCAGGCTGTTTTCCAAAGTGGCTGCCTCATTTTACATTCTTACCAGCAGTGTATGAGGCTTCCAGTATTTCCCTCCCCTCGCCAACTCTTATGATATTCCTTTTTGATTATAACCATCTCGTGAGCATTCAGTTGTGAATTTGATTTGCATTTTCCTGATCACTATGAACATCTTTTCGGGTGTTTATTGGTCGTTCATATATCTTATTTGGAAAAATGTATATTTGTCTTTTGCCCATTTTTAAATTGGATTATCTTATTGAGTTATCAATATAAGAATTCTTTATATAGTCTAGATTGAAGACTCATCAGATATAGGGTTTACAAAATTTTTCACTCATTCTGTGGTGTTATTTGTTTGAAGCAGAAACTTTAAAAATTTTATGATGTCCAAATTATTTTTTCTTTTGTTGCTTATGCTTTAAGTGTCATATCTAAGAAACCATTGACTAACCCATGGTCATGAAGATTTATGCTTGTTTTCTTCCAAGAGTTCTTTTTTTTTTTTTTTAAAGATTTATTTATTTATGCATACAAGAGCTGGGGTACAGGCCAGAGGTGTGGCAGGTGAGAGGACTCACCAGAGACAGAGTGGGGAACAGAGCAGGCAGACTGACTGAAATACACTGCTGAGGGGAGCAGCAGGCGAGTCAGGAGAGGTCCGCTGCGCCATGTGGGTAGCTCCCTGGTGGGGAATCGAACTTGTGCTGCAGAGGATGCTGACAGTTTCACCAATAAGTATTATGGGGGCTGTGAGTTTTTCATAGCTGCCCTTTATTGGGCTAAGGCAATTCTCTTCTATTGCTAGCTTTCTCGGAATTTTTTTTTTTAAATCATGAAAGGGTTATTTTGTCAAATGCTTTTCTGTGTGTTTTTTGAGATGACTAGAAGATACCACCTTTATTCTAGTGAGGTGATATACTGCATTAATTGGTTTTCAGATGTTAAACCAATATTTTATTCCTGGGATAAATCCTACTTGATCATGGTATAGAATCTTTTTTATGTGCACCTGAGTTGAATTTCCTTCACTCATTCTTTTTCCTTAAAGAATCCTACTAGAATTATGTCAAATTTTGTTATCTTTCTATCAGTTTAGCTTTCTGTGTGTTGTGGGCACAGGTAATCTGTGCCTTGGATATGTCTTCTAGGTCACTAATTTTCATTTTAGGTACTTATTATGTAACTCATTCCCTTTTTAAAAAAATTGTGTCATTGAGTGCAGTTTTAATCTTTTAAAAGTTCTATTTGATTCTTCTACAGTCTGCCTCTCATGCCATGCTCCCTTAATATCTGTTCTTCAGAGTTCTGGTCCCTAGTTTTTTCCCTGAAAGCATTTGCCAAGTCATTTTTATTGAATTACAACACACATTCAGAAAAATGTACAAATCACAACTGTAAACTTCACTAAATGTCCAAAAACTGAACAAAGCTGGTAGCCAACACCTGGGCCAGGGCACAGACCATTCCAGTATCCCCAGAGGCTCCCGAGTGCCCACTCATTTGCTCCTTCCCCCCAAGGCAACTGCTCTATAATCATTGTGAAGATGTACTTGGTGGTCTCTCTCAGCTTTCATGCACCCTGGAGATATGGGTCTCTCCTCTTCTGTTTGAATTTGTTCTGAGTTTCAATCCTAGCAGATTGTTTCCCCTATGCCTGCTAAGGATTTTGACATTTCTTATTGTGAACTAACATCTTTAGGGTGACTGGTTCTTAATTACTTTTTTCCTCTGATAGAGTCTTTTGCAGTCTGGATCTTGGGAACACAGCTTCAGGGCATTTTCCCCTCTTGCTAAACCCCAGGGTATCACTGGACTAAGTATTGATGTTAGTGTTTTGGGTTAGGAATTACTGGACCCAACCTGTCCAGAAAATTTACATCCTGGACAATGCGATGCTGCATTGGGAGCTGTGGAAGGTCATGCTGAAACAGAACTGTTTGCTTGTCACCCCCGTGTAGATGGGTACATTTTCTCAAGTTCATCCCTTACATTTTCTCAAGTTCACGCCTTCACTGAGAGGATGGCTCTTCAAAGGTACCAACTGATGCCCAGATCTCAGGTTGGACACTGACCGGAGGTGCGTCCACCGAGGGGCTCGACCCCCAAATACTCCCACCCTTGCTTGCCTCTGCACATGCTGATCCCGCTTCCCAGAACACCCACTCCCTCTTAGTCCTCACTGTTCTCACTCATCTATCCTCAGACGCCTGCTCATTGCCAATAACTGCCTCTGACCAACACTGCTATTGGCATGTCTGCCCCCCTCTCCCTGCACTGTGCTATGGGTCCTCCAGTCCCGGGGTTCATTTCTATCCCATCCATGTGCTGAAAAGCTGGCAAATGGGTGTGTGACATGTGTTTGCCAAGTAAATGAATTGTCAAAAAAGTTGGCAACATTAGTTCAAGATAAGTGAGACCTGCCTTCAGGCTGATGTGGATTCTCCAGCCATCTATAAAGTCATCCTGAGACACGGTGAACTCTGGTTCCTAAAAAGCAAATGCCATTCATCTTAAAGGTGATTTAATAGACATCTGCCGATTTATCATGCTAGCATCACAAGTTCTCATGCAATCATCCAATTACCACCTGCAAGCTAAGACAGAGGATCTGGGTTTGGATCATCCCCATAGTCCCCATTCCTGGGCACAGTGATAGATGCAAGAGTCAGTTGGAAGCCTCCCTTGGAACTGATGCTCATGTGCGAGTGGGGAGCCCTCGCTTGCTGGGGTTGCTAAGCTAGGACAGCTGTGTGAGCCACCTGACCAATTTTTGTATTTTCTTTGCCAGTTTGAGTTGGTTTCTATCACTATCAACAAATAGGGTTAAGGGTTTGACTAATAAGAGCTAAATTGGTAAAGTGAATATCCCTGACTGGTCAGGGAGGCCTATCAGTCCTGAGCAATATGATGCAGAATGATGCTCATTCTCAGTATGTTGAAAGGCCTACAGACCTTAAGGAAAGTTGGGGGAACTTTTAGCCAGAATATAAAGCTTCTGAGGCTGAAGAGGGCGTGGATTTAATATTGCATGTCAAGTGAACTGCACTTGGAGTATGATTAAAAAATACCTGCGAGGGGCCTCCCTGGTGGTGCAAGGTGTTGAGTCGCAGTACTATGAAGCTATCTGCAGCACGAGTTGGATCCCCGGCCAGGAAGGTGACCCACATGGTGCAGCAAACCCCTCCTGACTTGCCTGTTGCTCCCCTCAGCAGCGTATTTCAGTCAATCCGCCTGTTCTGCTCCCCACTCTGTTTCTGGTATATCCCCTCAGCCCCCACAACCACACCTCTGGCCTGTACCCCAGTTCTTGTATGAATAAATAAATAAATCTTTTAAAAAATACAGGCGAACTGGACAGTGACCAATACTGTTGGACGATGAAGGGGGCTACCTTGTGAGCTAATGAGATCCCTGTCACCAGAGGTATTCTAACTGAGATGGAATATGAATCAAGAACACTGATGAGGAATTCTTAGTTATAACTAGAGTCCCCAGTAGGGGAAGTCCTGCTCTTCCCAGCAAGGAAAATATATAGACACTTGGCTTTTTAAAAACTCTCAGTGACTGGAGACTGTAATTGACATTTCATGAATCCTGTTCTTTCAACCAGCTCACAGAGTA